CAATCTACTTCTGTAGTGATACAGACTCAGACACCTAAGGTGGGATTGCTATGAGTGGCTCCCACTCCACCAGAGTGAGTTTTTTTGTGCTACAAAATTTTGCACATTCATTATAGAAGTAATAGAAGACAGGGTTGGAGTAGCTTCTCAGAGACAACCGGACACCTTGAGAGAGAGAAACACTGGGTATGCAGGCTCAGGACTAAAGTATAGGGGGCATCATGTTCAATTTACATAAAAATTTTGTTCTGCATCCTACTTCTGAGTAGTGACTGAGGTCTTAAAAAGCTTTCGAGGGGGCATCTAAAATGCAACTATTGGTCTCATCTCATCTGCAGCAAAGAAGAGTAAGAAAATCAAGGTCATTTGGAAACAATTAATCCAAAGGTGTGATGAACCATGAGGATCTCAGCCTTCACAACCCTAAGAGCAGAAGAACTTGATGTTACCCTGGTACCAATGCCAAACACTCAGAAAGGGATAAAAATTGGAGATCTTGGTTGAAGTGGGTGGAAAAATGTGGAACAAAATTCAAAAACACAAAAATGACCAAAATTATTGGTTAAATATAGACTGGTGGAACCTTTAAGAGTAAAGCCCAGGTTTATCATTTGAGCCTAGAAATGGATTTACTTCCATGGATTGGTTCTCAACCCAACAGTAGAAAAACCTACATGTACAACACCTACCTCAAGGAGATGCACCTACCTGTCCGAAGGAGGTGCATCCTGTAGATCAATTAACCATGAGACATCAGAGGGATTCACATAGAAGGAAAGCGTGACAGAAAGTAATTAATAGATAATAAGGGGCAAGGACATTAACAAAGTTATTATAAATGTACTTTATGTGTTCAAAAAGTTAAGTGGAAAAAGGAGAGATATATTTAATGGGAGCTCTGGTAGCATAGTGGCTAAGGTACTGGACTGCTAACCAGAAGGCTGCCGGTTCAAACCCATCAGCCACTCCTCGGAAGGAAGATGGGGAAATCTACTTCCATAGTGATACTGCCTCAGAAACCCAGTGAAGGGGTCGCTATGAGTTGGGTTCGATTCGATGGCACATAACAACAACAACAAGGGGCAAGGGAGGAGGTAATCACAGGCAGCAAAGGGCAGGAGAGTTTTTTTATAATTGGGGATTGTAATTGGGGCCATGAAATCAAATGTGCATGAACTGTTGAATCTACAACAAATCTGCTTTGTAAATTTGTATCCAAAGCACAATAAAAACAAATAATAAATAAAATATAAACTTGGAAAGAAAGGATGACTTCTTTCCTGTGTAAAACTTGTCAAACTGGAAATTTAAGACAAAAATGGATTAGAGTATAAAAATCCATAAACACTTTAGAGAAATAAATGGCTCACATGATTTTAAGAATTGAGGACATTAGGAATTGAATCTTGCAACCTATTAGAGCCAAAATTATACCTATCAGAAAAATAAGAGATTGATAATTATGTCAAAAATGATTCAGGCAAAAATGTTGGCAGTGACCATGTCCAAGGGAAAGGTTTCTTAACAAGTATTTATAGATATTTTTTTCAATTTCTTGGGAAATTTTTATAAAAAGTATATAACAATAAGAGTAACCCTAACACATACAAAGCACTCAATAAAGTTTACTGATGGAACCACTGCTATTTGTCAATAAAAAAAAATTTAGTCATTAATGAGGAAAGAGAAATAAAATGGGAAATCACTTACTATAATTTATGCTAAATTGAGCAACTCCAGAACCAGGATAGTAGGAACCCTTCTCCACAGTGACAAGGCAATGCTTATTTTGTTTTTCTTGAATAATTTCCTTAACTCCTGAAGCTCCTTGATTCATCAAGTTCCAGCCTCGTATACATCCATCTAGACGAGGATTTATCTAACAAGTTAAAGTACGAGTCAATGAGTGCATTTTAAACTTGAACAAGTCAGACTGATAGTTGACTTAATTGATTATAGGTATAGGTTTCAATTTAGAGGGATTTTTTTTTCTTTGAGGACATTTAAAAACATTTTACACAATCTAAAGATTTCTTCCGGAGCTCTGGTAGCGTTTCCCCACTGGAATCCACCTGCTATTCCTCCTATGCCACTGAATGGTAACTTTTCTGCTTTCAAGTTCTATAAATGTTTCTGGCTGTGGCCTTGGATGCTAACTTGATTTTGGCTTTTCTTTGATTGCATTGAAGAAAATTGCATTAAAGCAAATTGCTTTAAAGCTTTTGCTTTGCCAATTAGACTCTAAGCCTCTTCAGGAAGAAAAAAGTGTTTGCATTTTTTAGCTTCCACCGGAGCATTCAGCCAGACTCAAGACATGTAGTTGTTGTTATGTTCCATGGAGTCAGACCTGACTCATAGCGACCCCTCCTTGGTTTTCTGAGGTAGTATCACTACAGAAGTAGATTGTCCAACCTTCCTTCTGAGGAGTGGCTGGTGGGTTTGAACCGTCAGCCTTCTGGTTAGCATTCAAGTGCCTTAGGCACTACACTACCAGAGCTCCTCAAGACATGTAGAGTAGACATGTAGCCATTTAATAAATAGTTGATTTTTTAAATTAATTTAATATACCTTTTAGGTGTCTTGATATATCAATTTCAAAAAGCAGGTATATTTGTCATGGGTTTACTAATGTAGGTTTTATATAACATCACAAAAAATCTTTATAAAGTTAAGGCAGCTGTGAATACCCATGAGTGAAAGACAGATGGATATATAATTGTAAATATTTAAGTTAAAGCAGCAAGTATATTCAGCGAGTATATTCAGCAGGTCCCTAACTTCAATTGCAATTTTTAAAACTTTCAAAAGACAGTGATTAGTCTTCTTCAGGACACCTTTTCCACAGTTATTAGGGAAACATATTCAGAAAATCATCCACTATATCTAAGTTCAATTTAATACAGGCTGTGGTTATACCCTCAGGTAAGATTTTTTGGGAAAAAAAAAAAAAGTTCTACTTTACATGCAATCTTTAACCTTTCTAATTTAAGTCCTCAAATAAATCTCTCAAGTCTTTTGATTGACTTCTATAAAACAATACACTTTTGGACTGAAATATGTGCATTTATGTTTAATGGGTGAATATGAACTACTATGATATTAAGATGGAATTGACATCCAAAAAATCCACTTCCCATAAGTAATGCTGGGTAAAGATTTTAAAAGGCTCAGAAATACTTCATTTATTTTCTTATTTCCTTAATATAATTTCAAGACTCATTATTTTCCATGTTCAATTCAAGTTGTCACACTTGTTATATTTAACAAAATAACTTTTTTAACTTTTAGAAAAACACATATTCAAGCCTATTACAGATAAAAGGATTTCTCTTCATGAATGATAATGACTTGGATCATTACCGGTCTAATGAGTGCATTTTCCATTTTCCGAGGTAATCCTGCAAAGTATACTTTGGTTTCCAGAAATCCATTTGTAGGTTTAAAAAGGCTTCCAGGTTTGTTTATATTCATCACAGCTTCTTTAGCTATTTTAAGACTAATACTATGTTCTAATTCTTCTACAGAAACCTACAATTAAAAACATAAAAATTACCAAACAACAACTAAACACCATACATGCCATTTGAAACACTGAGATGAAAAATCCTATTATTATTATTCTAAAAAATAATAATTTTCCAAAAGAATCATTTTAATAATGTAATTTTTAGTTTTTTCCAATCTACATGAAAATAAAAATTATTATACATGTGATTAAAAATGTGCCTTTAGGTGACAATTCTTGATCAAAATATTAAATGCACAACACATTTCAAGGTTAAAGAAGTCTATTAAACATTCAATTATACTATATATCTCTCAGTCTCAGTATACCAAAATACTAACAATTTAAAAAAAATGTAAGCCACTTTACTAATATCTTAGGAAACTAAGTGCTCTTATTTTGCAACTGATAGTAAATAAATGGAATCATACTTCAATTTCTCAATATAAACAAGTTCTTAATATAAATTTTTTAAAAATCAGTACCTCCAGTACTGTTCATTATACACAAATTACATTTTATTTCAAAATTCATAAGTAATAGAAGTCCAAAGGAAGTACAATACATAAAATTTATTTATTTTTTCCAATTTTGAAAGTAGTTTTGTTTTTTTAAAAAAAGGTTAGAGAGTTTTAAGTGGACCTTCCAGACTAAGACAGACTCAAAAGCAGGAAGGGGCCATACAGTTCTCAAACAACTGGCCAGTGAAAACCTTGTGAAAAGCATTGAAACACTGTCTGATATATTACTGGACAACTTTATAAATAGCACTGAAGCACTGTCAGATACAGTGCCAGAAGAGGAGCACCTCAGGTAGGTGCTCAGCTAGGTAGAAGACACTCAAAATACGATTGGGAAAGAGCTGCCTCCTCCGAGTAGAGCCAAACTAAATGATGTGTATACAGTAGAGCTTTCAGGACCAACATTTCCTGATGTGGCACAACTCAAAATGAGAAGAACGAGCTGTAAACTTCCATAAATAATGGAATACAGAATGTAGGAATTAAGAATCAACAAAAACTGGAAGATGTCAAAAATGAAATTAAAAACATAAAGACTGATATCATAGACATTAGTGAGCTGAAATGGACAGATTTTGGCCATTTTTAATCAGACAACCATATGATCTACTGTCCCAGGAATGACAAACTGAAGAAGAATGGCGTGGCATTCATCATCACAAAGAATATTTCAAGGTCTATCCTGAAGTACAATGCTGTCAGTGATAGGATAATATCCACATGCCTACTAGGAAGGCCAGTTAATACTACTATTATTCAAATTTATGCACCAACCACCAAAGCTAAAGATGAGGAAATTGAAATTTTTAGCAACTTCTGCAGTCTGAAATTGACCAAACAAGCAATGAAATGTATTGAGTATCACTGGTGATTGAAATGCAAAAGTTGGAAACAAAGAAGAACCACCAGTGGTTGGAAAACTTGGCCTTGGTGATAGAAATAATGCTGGAGATCGCATAATAGAATTTTTCAGGACCAATGAATGATTTATTGCAAATACCTTTTTCAGCATCACAAATGGCGGCTATATATGTGGACTTCACCAGATGGAATACACAGGAATCAGACTGACTACATCTGTGGCAAGAAGCAATGGAGAAGCTCAATATCTTCACCCAGAAAAAGGCCAGGAGCTGACTGTGGAACAGACCATCAACTGTTCAAACACAAGTTGAAGTTGAAGTTGAAGACAATTAAAACAAGTCTGAGAGCCAAAATATGACCTTGAATATATCCCTCCTAAATTTAGAGACCATCTAAAGAACAGATTTGATACCAGTGACCAAAAACCAGAGGAACTGTGCAATGACATCAACCACATCATCCATGAAGAAAGCAAAAGGTCATTAAAAAGACAGGAAAGGAAGAGAAGACCAAAATAGATGTCAGAGGAGACTCTGAAACTTGCCCTTAAATGGAGAGTAACTAAAGCAAATGGAAGAAATGACAAGAAAAAAGAATTGAACAGAAGATTTCAAAGAGCAGCTCAAGCAGACAAAATGAATTACTGTAATGAAATGAGCAAATACCTGGAGTTAGAAAACCCAAAGGGAAGAATACACTGGGCATTTCTCAAGCTGAAAGAATTGAAGAAAAAATTCAAGCCTCAAGTTGCAATATTGAAAGATTCTATGGGCAATATACTGAATGATGCAGGAAACATCAAAAGAAGATGGAAGGAATACACTGAGTCATTGCACCAAAAAGAATTGGTCAATGTTGATCCATTTCAGTAGGTGGCATATGATGAAGAACCAATGGTATTGAAGGAAGAAGTTGAAGCTGCATGGAAGGAATTGGTGAAAAACAAGCTCCACGAATTGATGGAATACCCATTGAGATGTTTCTACAAATGGATGCCGTGCTGGAAGCACTCACACATCTGTGCCAAGAGACTTGTAAGACAGCTTCCTGGTCAAATGACTGGAAGAGATCCATATTTGTACACAGTCTAAAGAAAGGTGATCCAACAGAATGTGGAAATTATCAAACAATATCATTAATATCACACACAAGTAAAATCTTACTGAAGATAATTCAAAAATGGTTGCAGCAGTATGTTTACAGAGAACTTCCAGGAATGCAAGCTGGATTCAGAAGAGGACGTGGAACAAGGGATATCATTGCTGATGTCAGATGGATCCTGGCTGAAAGCAAAGAGTACCAGAAAGATGTTTAGTTATGTTTCTTTGACTGTGTAAAATCATTTGATTGTGTGGATCATTAACAAATTATGGATAACGTTAAGAATGGGTATTCCAGAATACTTAATTGTGCTCATGAGGAACTGGTACATAGACCAGGAAGCTGTTGTTCAAACACAACAAGGGGATACTGCATGGTTTAAAATCAGGAAGAGAGTATGCCAGGGTTGTATCTTTTCCCCATAGTTATTCAATCTATATGCTGTGCAAATAATCCGAGAAGCTAGACTATATAAAGAAGAACGCAGCATCAGGACTGGAGGAAGACTCATTAAGAATCAGCAATATGCTGACAACACAACTTTGCTTGCTGAGAGTGAGGACGACTTGAAGCAGTTGCTGATGAAGAATGAAGAATACAGTCTGCAGTATGGATTATACCTCAACATAAAGAAAACAAAAGTCCTCACAACTGGACCAATAAGTAGCATCATGATAAATGGAGAAAAGATTGAAGTTGTGAAAGACTTCATATTACTTGGTTCTACAATCAACACAAATGGAAGCAGTAGTCAAGACATCAGAAGACATATTGTATTGGGCAAATCTGCTTCAAAAGACCTCTTTCAAATTCTGAAGAGCAAAGATATTTCCTTGAAGACTAAGGTGCACCTGACACAAGCCATGGTATTTTCAATTGCCTCATATGTATGTGAGAGCTGGACAATGAATAAGGAAGGCCAAAGAAGAATAGCTTTTGATTTGTGGTGTTGGTGAAGAATGCTGAAAGTAGTGTAACTGCTAAAAGAACTAACAAAAATTATCTGGAAGAAATGCAGCCAGAATCCTCCTTGAAAGTGAGAATGGCCAAACTTGGTGTAACCTACTTTGGTCATGTTGTAAGAAGGGACTATTCCCTGGAGAAAGATAACATGCTTGGTAAAGTGGAGGGTCAATGAAAAAGGGGAAGGCCCTCAACCAAATGGATCAACACAGTAGCTGCAATGATGGGCTCAGGTATAACAAGGATCATGGGCCTGGCACAGGACCACACAGTGTTTTGTTCTGCTGTACATAAGGATGCTATGATTTGGAGACAACTTGACAGCACCTCACAACATAACAACCACAACATTCTACCTCCCAGCTTTATGCACAGTTCCTGAGGTCTTAAAAGTTTGCAAGCAGCCATCCAAGGTATAATCATTGGTCTCTATTGATCTGGAACAATAGAGGAAAGAGAGTCAGGAATAAGGGAAGAAAATGGAATGTGTGGCTAAGTGCCACCATGAACAACTTCCTCCTTTGCCAAGAGACCAGAAAAACTGCATGATGCTCGACTACCACTATCGAATATTTTGTCAAAGCTTCCATACAAGAATTCTAATCAAATGGGAGGAAATGCAAAACAGAATTTAAAATTATCATCGACTCCAGACTTTCTACAGCCATGAGGTTTGGATGAATACCTGAAACTGTTGGCCTGAGATCATCTTTAAACCTTAAACCAAAAATAATCCCTAAAATCTTCTTAAAATGAAACAATAGATTAACATAACTTGTAAAAACGTCTGCCTTGAACATTATGTTTTTTGACCAATAGACACAAGTAACAGCTGAGCTGTAATCAGCTCACACATTATGCTCTTTTAAGAGCTATATATATGGGTTCACAACAACACCAAACAGCAACCGACAATTTACACACAAGATGGTATAACTAAAAGGAATTTGTTAAAATGAGACCAACCTTACAAGAGATGCTAAAGGGAGTCCTTTGAACAGAGAACCAGCAACAGCAAACAACAACTGACCATTAACACAACTGATGACATAATCCAGACACCAACCCACTTATGGAAGTATCTAGAGTAAATAAGCCTACAAGATTGTAAACACGAAAACAGAGACATCAATTGGCAAATGAGGACAACAACAAACCAAAAAGAGGGAAGAAAGAGTGTAGTTCCAGAACTTCTAAATGGTGAGGAAGCCAAGAGAGGCATAAGATAGAAGGGACTGTTCTAAACTCTGGGAGAAAATTATAAATCACAGGGTAATATCAAAGAAAAATGATGAATCTTTACCTCACAATAAAAAAGAGGCCAAGAACAAATATTTGTTGTTGTTGTTGTTAAGTGCCGTCGAGTCGTTTACGACTCATAGCGACCCCATGCACAGCAGAACAAAACACTG